TGTATCCGCCAAAACTATCAGAGTTCAGGTGCACTCTCCCTGTGCAGCGCTAGTCCCTAGCAGGATGCTAAGCATGCCCTACCAGCCGGTTAAAAGGGAGGGGGACCTAACCTCCTTCCACTCGTCTACAGTGAAGCTCGGGCCAAAGAGCACGCAGTCTACCAACTCCGAGATTGAAATGCCCCCTTGGGCGCCACACTCGTATGAGCGAGCAGACAGGTAGCTCCAGGCTCCCGTTTTCCACCTTACGAGACGCAGCACACGGCAAACGTGCTGGTCAGCAAAAGCTAACGTTGTTAGTCTGTAAGCTTTAGAGAAAAATTGGTTACTTAAAATAAATAGGTGAAACATGATAGATCAGGAAACCTGCCAAAAACAGTAAAACACAAACAAAAATCTGAAGATCTGTAAATGATAAAGTGTTTTTGAGTTAAATAAAATAAAATTCGCTCACTAGGTCATTATAAATATTTGATAAAACGTCGGAAACTCAAAACAGGACCGTCGCAAGAGAGAAATGGAAAAATGCTCTGGTCCGGCTCGGGGCCCCGGGTGCGCCGTACCCGTCACACAAGGGTGTGCCCCTGGGGGGGGGGCAGGCAGTATGGAATGCTTTTGTTATTCATAAAAAAAAGGGGGGTGATTTCAGCCAAGTGAATTTCCGACTTGGGTTGATTGAAAGTCTAATCGAGAATTCCAGAGGATTACATCAGGTGTCCAACAGAAGCTTTGGGATTGATGCATCTCAAAATATCATGAGATTGACAGCGCGACATTTTCCTGCCTATGTGGACAGCTCTAATAGTAAGAAGCAGTATGGAGTTAGAAAATGCGTCGTGTGCTCCAACAAAGTAATTGACAATGGAAAAAGAGTAAGGCGGGAAAATAGATTTAAATGTATTGAATGCAATGTAGGTTTATGTGCAGTTCCATGTTTTAAAATTTATCATACATGTAAAGTATTTTAAATAATTTCAAAGAAATTAAACTTTAAATTTTTATTTTTCTTAATTCTTATTATTTCTTAAATTAAATTATTTAATAAATTATATAATTATTTAATAAATATTAAAATAAATTATTCTTACATTAAATTATTTCTTAAATTCTTATTTTTTTAAAATTAATTCTAGTATTTTATCGATATATTTTAGTAAATGTAATGTAATTACGCAATATTACGATTCTTTGAATTTTTGTTTGTAATGTAATGTAGGGTTTATGTGCTATACTATGTTTTAAAAATTATGATACAAATTGATTAGTTCAAACAATATTTCCATTAATTAATTTTATAAATTTCTTATATTATGTCTTATTTCTTATATTAGGTATTCCGTAAAGTACGCTCTTATTAAGTGTTTTTAAAATTACTTACAAATAGGTAAGCAAAAAACTCTAAACATTGAGCGCCGCCTATAATAATGAAAAAAAAAATGCTATCGAAATTTGACCAATAATAAAGAAGGGCAGATGAACAAACATCAAATAACTTTTTAGTTTTCAATTTTCATAAAGTTCTTTTACATAATAAGGGAAATCTTTGCTATGTTCTGAATGGCGAAAGAAAAAGTAATTTCCCTGTACATACTTTTTAGTATAAGTTCAGGCCCAAATATTTTTAAAAATTTAATTTCAAGGGTGATATGAAGTGAATATCCTATAAGCCTTTTTTTAAAAAGAAAAATGTTGTTATTGGAATTTTAAAATGTTAAGCAGTGGAATATGTCTCTAGTTAAAATAAGATTATATTCTCAGGCACCAATTCTTGGAATGTATTTTATTAGCGGAAATTATACAAAATACACTGAATAATAAACTATGGAATATTTACTTAATATTTCTTATTTCTCAAAAAATTATACTATAATATATACATATAATAATGATGATAATAATAATATTATTATAATATACTTTTTCTCTGTGTTAAGTTGTTTAGTCAACGCCAACACCCTGGCTGCGTTACTGCAAACTTGAGTCCCAGAAAAAAAAAATTCTATACAATTTCTAAGACTCCTAAATAATTCCAATGTATTGGAAAAGTTTTTTACTGTTGAAACTTAGCGAAAAATTATAAATCTATGAAAGTGTTTAACTAATAATAAATGCAGTAATATATTTAAATAAACGATTAAATAATAAGAAAGATTGCATGTGGTCATAAAACTAAGAAAAATGTTTGTTAGTTATAACAAACTAATATTGGGTCATTGCATTTAGCAGAAGTTATAACTGTTTATTTCTTGAAGAGGTAAATGTTATCAAGATTTGGAAAGGTTGATAAAGATTGACTTAAATAAAATATGATACATATAAATGAAATAATTCTTTGAATTTAATAATTATTTGAAATATTATTTATTAATAAAATTTAAATTTCTTGAAAAAAAAAATTTTTTGCATTCAATAGTGCCTGTGTATATTGAACCTGCGTTAGTTATTGTATATAAAAAGTTTTTATAATACCTCCATCTCACAATTTGTACTGATAAATTAAACACCAGTCACGAGTTGTCTATTCATAAAAAAATTTATTGAACTTGACTAGAATGAATAAAATGAAAATATCATGCAGCTTACATTAGAAATCGAATGAATGGAAAAACTACTCATTCATAACTATATATCACAGTAACGTACAATTTTTGAAACCCTGGGAAACTTTAACAATGTGTATAAAACGATAGAGAAACGTTCTGGAATAGGTTTCTTAGTATAGAGTATTCAGGAGCTTCTTTTGAGTTGGTTGCTGTTAGAATTCGTCTTTCTTCAAAATTTTATTTTTTGAAATTTTCCTTGTTTTGAAAATGGACATTGATTCCGATGATGGAAGTTTGTTTGCAGATTCAGATGAAGAAATCATTAGTTCTGATTCTGAATCAGATGACGATACAATTACTGCGAATAAAGTTCATTTGGACTTGAACGACGCCGACGTACGAAAATGGTGTGCTATAGATATTTCGAAAAAGAACGTCGCTCCTCTTAGGTATCCGTTTACGGGAAACAGTGGAATAAAATCAGATATTTGCGACCCAGATGATGTTTTGGAATTATTTCAGTTATTTTTTGATAAAAACATTATGGAAAGTATTGTTAAGGAGACTAATTTATATGCAGATCAGTATTTCGAAAAGACTGTTTTAACTCCCTCATCCAGATCATTAAAATGGGAAAATACAACTGTAGAGGAAATCAATAGATTTATTGCCATTTTACTTCTACAAGGGATAAATGGTAAACCTGTAGAAAGATGGTATTGGTCAAAAAGACCAATTTTATCCACCCCTGTTTTTGGCCAAATAATGAGTTCAGAAAGATACTCATTAATCATGAAGTTTTTACACTTCGAAAACAATGAGGATTTTCATCCCAAAACACATCCTAAGCTGAAGAAAATATATCATCTTCATAAAAATCTCGTGAAAAATTTTCAGAAGGTGTATAAGCCAAAACAAGAAGTTACGGTGGGTGAATCCTTATTGGGATATAAAGGCTTACTTGGTTGGAAACAATACTTTCCAACAAAACGTTCTAGGTTTGGGATAAAACTCTGTCAGCTTTGTGAATCCGACAGTGGATACATTTGGAATTCCATCATTTATACTGGAAAGGGAACATTATTCGATGAGAAATATGATCATATGAATACTTCTACAAAGAGTGTCCTGTCCCTCATGGACAATTTACTCGGGCAAGGATATGCCTTAACAACTGACAATTTCTATACGTCCCCTGAACTGGCTGAGCTATTGATTAAAGAAAAAACAGAACTTTATGGCACAATGAAAGCTAACAGAAAAGGTTTGCCACCAAGTTTAAAAACAACAAAGTTAAAAAAAGATGAAATTATGGGATTTCAAAAAGGAAAAATATGCGTATTGAAATGGCAGGATAAAAAACCCTTGTGCATGCTTAGCACTTGCCACACCGCTGAGTTAATCGAAGTATCATCTAATACAAATGGCACAGTTCGAAAGAAGCCCACCGTTGTTGTTGATTACAACAAAACAATGAGTGGGGTGGATCATTCTGATCAATGCCTATCATACTATTCCATAACGAGAAATCAACAAAGAAAATATTACAAAAAAATCTTTCGTTATTTACTGAATCAGGCAGTATGGTTGGTTGGTTGATTAAAGTTTGTTGGCACAAGAGCCAAACATGGCTATACTTACACTTTTGCTTTACATAAACTCAAATAAGTTTTGCAATCTTCATCTGATAAAATTAAAGTATATCTCATGTTATTTTGGTCTAAGGACCGATTCCATAATATCAAAGCACTAAAGTTCTTCCGGCAAGCAGATTTGTGGCCTTCATACCAAATATTATATTCAGCCCTTGATTCACCCAAGTCTCTAGCAGCAACAGTACACTGTGAGCAGTATTTCGATAAAACTTCGTAACCCAAAACTAAGGTAGTAAGGGTATCGATTACTGATCCAATCCCATTTAGGGAAGTGTGCCCCCTCTTCTGCCAGGTACCATCATAACATATATACATGTCAATTGTATTCTGTATCGAAATATTGTCATCGGTGGCTATGTGTGCCTTTCGGACAGCATCAGCAGCTTTTTTCAAAATAAGTGTTGGGCCATTCCATTGTGACGGGTGTAACATTCAGACACAGTTTTTTGACGTTAAATCTGCATTTGAGGAAATTTATATAGTTAATAAATTACCAACAAAGTTTTTAATTATGTTTAACGTTGCATTTGCTTGAATAATTGAGTTCAAATATAACAGCAAGAATTCAATTTTCTTTAAAAAAAAATTTAAATCTTGTGACGGGTGTGACTCTTTTGGGACATGAGTTTTCACTTGCTTCCACATTTGTAAAACATCCTGTGAATATTGAAATGTTTTATCGTTATACCAGTTTTTTTTCTCCTAAAGGACATTCAGATGGAACTTAATACATGTTTTTTTTATGAGTAGTTTTAATATTTTTAACATGCAGGGATTTTTTTTCTAATGTGACGGTTGTGACATTGTGCAATACAATTTTCAGAGGCAATTTTTTAAAGAAAATAATTACCAGTACAACTAGTAAACTTGGCAATAGAAAATATGTTTAAATTTTATTGGAAATAAATTTTATAATTACATATAAACCATTTAAAACTTATAATGGCTCCCGATTTTTTACAAGCGTCGGTGGAGCAGCTTTCTTATTTATTACAGATATGTTTTCAGTCGAAATGTCTTCTTTTTCGCGCCAAATCCAATGGGGTCCACTGGGATGCATATATTTTAAGCCCACTTCTTCTTTTTTGTAATTTATGCCTAAAATTGTAGCATAATAAAACTTATTAATTGAGTTCTTTTTGCTACTAACTGCAGTAGAAAATGATACTAAAACATAGCCTCCTAGAACAATATCAGGTGCCTGCATGATCTGAGTGGGTGAATAATCTACTTCTTGAGTAGCAGTGCCGGTTACTTTTTTTAATTACATTTTGCAGTCCTTCCAGTTAACAGATTTGTAGCGTTGCTCACTTGAAAATGGTGAAGAGATTTATTTATTTCTATGGAGGAGGAATTCTCCCATCTTGCGGATGATACTGATTTTGGACTGCAATATTTGATTGGATGTCACATACAATGGTTTAATTGCACAACTTACGTTCATAGTGCAGTTGAAGAAATCCAGAGAGGAGTTTACCACTACTTTCCTGGATTTTACCTGATGCCAAACTTTTGACTTTATTAGCCCCCCAACGCCATCTACTGCACCTTTTCCATGGGAAGTAGCAAAGAAGTTCTACTCACAATTTAATTGCAAATCTTCCTGAAAGAAGCACAAGTTTGAAATTGTATACTTATTTTTGAATTGTGCCGCACAGCCATCGGAAAAAATACCCTGATTTTCCTAATTGAAATATTTTTATATTATATTAACTTCAAGCTCAAAAAAATAATACAAGGGAAAATTTTATGACATTTTTCCTTATAATTTCATAAACCTCATTCATTTACCTTTAATTTGATATATTACATGTTACAATTAAAACAAATTGAAATTTCAACTCTCATGTCCACTTTTACATGGAAATGCTCGGTTTTGAAATTTCCTGTCTGCTCAGATAAAAAATTAAAACACTTAAAAAATGTTTTTGTGTCCATAGTTGGGTCCATACTATGAAGGAAACGTTGCTATAAACCAGTCTTTCTCAAAGTGGGCGATAACGCCCCCTTGGGGGCGTTTGAAACTTATTGGGGGGCGTTAAGGGACCCAGAAAAAATGGGGGGCATTGATGTTGGTTAGGGGGGCGATGTATAATTTGCAATTTCATTTACTTTATATAGTATTTTAAATTTCACTAAAATTAAAACCCACCTACTACACAATAACGAATAATTAGTTTATATTTCTACCCTGTATGATGTTATAAAAACTTAAAATACTTAACATAGATTTCGCGGGACAGCCCGCACACTGTACGCAATCAAGTTGTAACAAGTTTCTGCGGATGGATAAAGGAACATGATCGATGATACTTAAAAAATTAGAGCAATTTTACCTTAATTACATTGCACCAGAACGAAGCGATGAATCCTTCAAGATCATTTTAATAAAATGCATCCGGATAAGAAGGACAAAAATGTAGTCTATTTTCAAGATCTGGGAAAAGAAGCATAATGCTCAGCCAAGTGTATCGGAACTTTTTTCGATGGCTGCTAAGCAAGACGATGACGGACTTCGAGCTTCATACAATATCTATCTGTTAATTGCTCAAACAGGTAAACCACACGAAATCGGAGAAACGTTAATTTTGCCGGCGATACAAGAAGTTTTGCTAGAAATTTAAGTGAACGACTGTTTCAATCATTGCAACATGTCATCAGAGCAGTCAATAAAATCCGAAACAACTCTTTAAATGACAGATTATTTAATCAGTTTTGTGATGATAATGATGAAGATTTCAACAGATTTATCTTTCACACAGAAGTGCGTTGGCTATCAAAAGGAAATTCACTGACTCGTTTTTACAATCTGTTTGACTCTGTCATAGAGTTCTTGGAAAATAAAGACACAGAATTGCGCGAAAACCTCATCACATCAAAGAATGATATCGCATACCTGACACACCTTTATACATTGCTTAATGATATGAATCTCCAACTTGAACTTAATAAAAATAAATATCGTCGCTGCTTTCGTAGCCAAGCTTCTCTTACACAAAAAGAATATCGGCAGACGTGAGTTCCATAATTTTCCCAATTTATCAGTATCCTGCAACAACGACGCCTTGCTCGTCTACTGCCAACATTTGGAAAATCTTAACACTGATTTCATTGAAAGATTCCAGGACATTTTGAAATTGGAAATACCAGACTGGGTGTTAGATCCTTTTTCAAATGTCAACATAGTAATATCACCCTAGTTGGAAGAAGAACTTATAGAACTGACAACGAACGAGGAAATAAAAATCAATTACAAAAATGGCTACCAACAATTTTGGCTACAAAAGTCAATTCCGCAGTTGTACCCTGGATTGTGGTCTATCGTTGAACGATTTCTGATAGCATTCCCATCCTCATATTTGTGTGAACGTGGATTTAGCGCTATGACAACGCTGCTTACTAAAAAGAGAAATCATTTGCAAGTTACCAAACGCGGTGACTTACGANGAATTGTGCCGCACAGCCATCGGAAAAAATACCCTGATTTTCCTAATTGAAATATTTTTATATTATATTAACTTCAAGCTCAAAAAAATAATACGAGGGAAAATTTTATGACATTTTTCCTTATAATTTCATAAACCTCATTCATTTACCTTTAATTTGATATATAACATGTTACAATTAAAACAAATAGAAATTTCAACTCTCATGTCCACTTTTACATGGAAATGCTCGGTTTTGAAATTTCCTGTCTGCTCAGATAAAAAATTAAAACACTTAAAAAATGTTTGTGTCCATAGTTGGGTCCATACTATGAAGGAAACGTTGCTGTAAAGGAATCAATTCCAGACCTTAAACTTCGATCAGTCACTTTTTTCCCCTTTCATTTAAATATCAATTTACCATCGTTAGTTTTTTCATTTGTTTTTATAAGGGTTTAAAAAATATGTATTTAGATAAGCATACCGGTTATGACCTAACTTTTATTGGTTTTCAGAAACACTATAACAAAAGGTACCATGACGAAGAAGATGATATAAGAAGGAAAAATTGGGAAGATGCTAAAAGGCGTATAAAAGAGTTCAATAAAGAATACAATGAGGGGAAGCACTCTTTCGAAATGCGTATTAATAGTCTGTCCGATTGGGTAAGCAAATTTCGTATCTCAAACTGTTACAGAGATGCAAAATATTTTAAACACACTCTTTAACATTGATTAATGAAGTTAGACTAATGTTCGTGAGGTTTCGAATCCAGCCGGTCGAAGAATGGTGACTGGGGCACGTTAAATCTGTTCGTGTCACTGAGTTCCCATAACAAATCAATACCTCTGGAGTACTGACTTGTTATGGAGATTTATAGTTCTCTGGTTCAGTTCAAATTTACAATCTACGCGCTCATGAGCCGCAATAGTGGCACAACTTAAAAAACACGCGTTTTGGACTAAGAACAGGTGTAAATATGAAAGAAAAACATTCTTTTCAGCAGCAATGCTAGCACAACTCATAATTCAACTTGAAGGTAATCTTCGTCTAAGCAAACTAAAGCATTTCTTATGCATTTTGCTTAGCCATGAAAACTTTAAACCCACTTATCTCAAAACTTGAGTTGTGCCGCAATTGCAACCCATGAGCGCTACTAATGAATGAAATGTGTGTGAATGAGTCCTTCCTGCTAAACGGGTTGTGACATATACATGTGTGGTAAAATCGTATTCTGGGTCATAGTTGGCGCCACTGAAAAACAAGAAACGCACGCACTGTCATAAAAATTTCTCTTGATTTCAGGTAGGCTTGTTTATATTGGAAAGTGGCGTATGTAACAACACTACACAATTCTCTTATTTCCGTCTATCTCTAAAATCAATCACTATGTCAAGTTTTTTTTTTATTTTTTAAATTTTGTAAACAATTCTTTAAACGTTGCAATTGTTGTTTGACAAGTCTTAAGATATGAAACCTTGTTAATGCATTACGTTGCAGCATGATGAGGAGATAGAAA